TTGGTATACATAAAAAACCGACGGTTCAAAGATATCACATCTACCGATTGGTGAGTATATCCGATTTAAATCCACTATGGAAAGTTCAAAGGGAAACCTACTTATCCAGATGCGATTAATTCTTCATAGTTGAATCACAAAGGTTGCATGGTTTTGAAGAGTTTTCTAAAATTCTCCATTCATGTGGGGGATTGTTGGAGTTTTTTTTAATTAAATGAAAGGAGATATTTTTGTATGTTATTCTCCATATTTATATTCTAAAACTTAAAAAATATTTATGACTTTTGGGAGTTTTACAATTTTTCAATCCTATAAATAGGAGGCTTTGTTTTCATTTTTATACACACCAAGAAAAAACAAACAAGAGTTTTCTAAAGAAAATAAAACACATATTTTCCCTTTGTGATTCAAGCCGAGCTTTGAGTTCGACAAGACACCGGAGTTTGAAGTACCACTGTTCCGGTGAGGTACGTCCGTCCTATCATGAGAGGATATATTCCATTAACCGTAGGTACCGCGCGGGAAATAATTTCCTTAAGGAGACACGGTTCGCCGTGGGTTCGGATTTGGTTTTCTGGTTTTAAAAATCATATAGATTTAATGATATTGGTTTGATCACAACTTTCTGTACTGTTATCGGAATTGCATGTTCTTGATATCGTTTCGTAGATATCGAAATTATTTTTCTAATGGTATATAGCATGCATGATTTGGTTGTATGTTCTGAAAGTTATTAAACTCGAAAGTCTTGGTATGAAATTGAAAGTTAACCATGCATGAATATGAGACATATAAAGTAACACACCCAACAAAAAATATATGTAAGATGAAATTTAAAAAAATAGAAAAATGTGATATGTTTATTTGATTTCCTCTTAAAAAATGAGGGGAGAGGGCAATTATAAATATGAAGTGGGGCATTATTCTTCGCATCTTATTATATTTTATAAATAAACTTTTTTTAATTTTTAGTGGGGGCCAATGGTCCCACTCCTCATGAAGTGGGTCCGCCCATGTTTATATATTCCCATAGTCTCACGTATGTCTCAAATTTATTTTATTTTATAAGAAAGTTGGAATAGAATCAATTTGTTGACCTCGCTATTGGCGAATAGTTATAACCGCGGTAATTTTTTTTCGGTTAACCTACCATAGGATGATTATATTGTCTTAGTATAAATACGAATTTAAGCACTGATATTTATGTTCCACTTGATGAGAATACATGCTCGCCCCCAGCAAAAAACAAAACTACTTTTGGAAAAATGGAAAAAAATGATATTTCTATGCAAACTAGGAAAGGTATACCAAGGATTTTAAAAATATAATTTTTTTATTGACAATGATATAAAAGTATTTATATACATAAAACTTATTTTGAGTATGATACCAAACCTAATCGGATTAAAAAAACTGAAATATTATCTCTAAAACAATAATATGTAGATGACAACCTAATATACACTGATTTTTATTAAAAATTCTTACGATAATGTTAATTTTTTTTAGAATGAGAAATATAAAATTCTTGCTTGCGAGAACAACCACTGACTTTGTCTAGTTTATACAAGTGGCCTTTGGAACACGTCATCAAATAAATAATATTTAACAATGATATTTGTGGCGGACTCTCTCTCTCTCTATATATATATATATAACACACAAATACTACAACCAGGAACGATCATTAGTACACAAAACTCTCATTTAAATTGGTATTTCTCGTCAGATGAAAAACCATGGAGATAATATCTTCCAACAGATTAGAGATTGCACGATTCCTTGTACTTTTGGTCGTCGGAATCGTCTTCACGTTATCACAAATCCCGTTCGAGAAGGTCGATGGAAGTCTCTTGCCCACCGTTATATTCAGAGAAAACCCTAACTTGTTCTGCGCTTTCATCCTGTCTGTTAATTTCATGTTGTTTGGTTCTGTAACTTCGATCTCTCTCCATGAACGTTATCCAAAAGCCTCCTCGTACTGTCTTCTTCTGGGCGTAACGGCCACCGCCTCAGCTGTAAGCATAGTTCTGCTCTCTCTGGCCATGCCCTCTGTCGCGAAGTTTCTCCTACTGGTCACGAGATCGATGCAGAATGTTCGCCGATGAGTGATGAGAATTTTTCGTTATCTATTTCCTCGAATCCCTCTCGTGCGTATTAAGGTGGCTCATACGTGTGCGTACATGTATATACACGCGTCCTACTGATCCATATTGTCTGTATAATCGAACTTTAGAATATAAATATGCATGTACCTCGCTTTTTGCGTGAGCAGAGGGATAAAAAGGATGTTTTCATGTGAATTATATTTGTGTAGTGTTGATTGCATTGCTAATAAACTAATTTGCATGTAACGCTATTAATATAATGTATGGTGTGGTTTTTGTTTCAATCACGTAGAGCTGAGCTAGAAGATCACAAAGTCTTAATGCAAACGTATTAAACATTCATAAGATTCCATTAAATGGGGATTTGGATTAACAGTCAATTGATAATGTCATTTAAATGAACCAGAGCTATACTAAGGATATGATGAACAGTCACTGTCGAATAAGAAGAAGAACCAGAAGAAATTAAGCACGATTATTGTCGGAATCTCTATCAAATGTTAGTATTACTAATGCTTCGTTCGAGGTCATAAGTCTTGCTCTAATGAACGTGGTTTCTTCTCTGTTAGAAACAAGTTTGTTCATTTTATTAATTTGAACATTTCAGAAGTTGTTTTGGTATGCAAGAGAGTTGTGTGGATCCATTCAACGATTCCGTAATCATTCATAACGTTATTTGGTCAAAAAACGAGTTGGCCAATTCCAACGTGACAATAATTTTCTGAGTTGACTCGTTACGTCACGTATCACGTCGGATCAGTCAACTTATTTTTTTGATCAAATAACGTTATGAATGATTATAAAACCGTTTAATAAGTTCAAGATTTAACGTGTTGAATTTTACAAGTTTAAAAATTAATAAATACCTCTCCAATTTTAGAAATTAATAGCCAATTTTAATTTTATTTTTCTTCATTTTTTAGGTCGTGAGTTCCTATCCTTGTGACGGCACATTGCCGGCGATTTAAAAAACCCAAAAGTCTTAGCTGACACTTGGAAATACAGGAAGAATAATGACAAGTATAATAATAAATATCAACAAATTGTATTAGGAATATTCGGCATATAACTATTTTTTACAAAGACCCACCAACATTTTTATCGTTTAAAGTACTATACACCAGTAGTTACAAAAAAAAAAAAAATACGTCTCCAATCTTTACACATATCGTTCAATTAAAAGATATATTTTTTTCTATAAAAAAAGAAGAAGAGCAAAACTATATGGTAAGCATGAAATATAATTTTAAAACCGCGTTAATTTTGTTATTAAGAACGTTAGCAGGCATGGATGTTTGAAATTATAGCATATATTTTCCTTCTTGTTCAAAAAACTTGTTTTCTCAAGTGTTAATCTGAGACATAATTGTAGTGTAAAACCCTATCCTAATATTAGTTCCTATTAACCGATTAATGAAACAAGAAAGTTGAAGCCGTATTGTCAATTAATGAAATCAATTTGCAGATGCGTATGTATATATATATATATAATGATAAGTTGGAATAAAATTTAAAAGTCATAAACAAATTCAGTCTTTCAAAATAAGATTTTCTAACAGCTGATCACGTATGTAAAAATAAACGAATTCCACAAAAAAATATATAGAATAAGAAAAAAGTTTGCCGTCTCAAGCAAACATTTCCACGCGGTAAGAACTAAACTAAAACGGATCAACCAAATCGGGACAGATACGCGTATGTGTGTGTGTATAGATACAACCTGTCGTATGTCAGTACCAGACATGGGCGGGGCATATGCCCCATGTGTTTTCATAAAATTTATATATTTTTAACTAGATTTTATAAATGCACCGTTGTAAAAAGATAAAATCAATGTGTCCCCCCCCCCTCCCCTTATGATATTTCCAAGATCCGCTATTACCGGTTCTATAATTGTCACGAGTTGGTGTTGACATCAATATCAAAATGCAACTCTTATTTTGATCACTTAATTTGAGGACGACTTGGAAAAATATGTTGGTTTACCTGCAAAGACAAAAATGGAACGCAATTGTTCATGATGCATGCATGTTTCCCTACGATGTGAAGCATGATGATGGGCAGTATATCATCAAGCCTTGTAAAGTTATGGTATCATGAGATGCAACCATCGCATGTATGCCAAAAGGTACGCTCTCTTCTAACATGCATCTTACTGCTGGTGAATGTTACGCGTGAATAGCTGAGCTTTTATGATTCGGATGATTTATAATGTCAGAAACCGTAATGGGTTTCCGACATCATAGTGAGATGAAAGCTGGGTATGTATGTATACATGGAATCAAATAAAATCCACTATGCATTAACCGTCACATTGTTCCCAACATTCTCCATCTTTATCTTGTTCACACTTGCTTCATGTGTATTCCAAACAAAACCTCTAAACTACACTCATATATATATATACACATATATATATATATATATATTTGTTGGATATTAGAAAGTTTCACTGATCGTAAACTCGAAGAAAGTGAACAAAACTATAGGATTGAGTGGTGTTTTGGTTTCTCGACGCATTACGAGCCGGCAAGATAAGAGTAGAGTTTCACAGAAATGATAAAATAAAAGAAAGAAATCTTTTATTGATAAAATTGTATACATGCCTAAGCTATATATATACATATATATATATATATACTATTATGCGTCTTTTAGAGAAAAGGAGAATGTATAAATACAAAAACATATACAAGGAAATGTAATATCTTATAAGACAAGAAAAGGAAGTTTGTGCTATCATGGTTTCCTTATTCTGAAACGATCATGTCGTTGTGTTGTCCAAAAAATCCACATTTTCCATAATATCATCAATATTCTCTCTCAAGATTGGCCAGGTAAACTCGATTAGGCAAATCTTGGAGAGTATGCGATTAAGCACGAATGAGCTTGTCGTCTTTGTGAGGATATCCGCGAGTTGATCTTGGCTTCGAGTATACTTTGTCGTGATAAGTCCTTGTACGATCTTCTCTCGGATGAAATGACAATCAACTTTAATGTACTTGATTCACTCATGGAACATGGAATTGGCTGCGATATGTATTGTCGCTTGATTGTCACAATGCATCAGAGTGGGTTGCGTAATATTAACTCTGAGATCTCTTAGCAATTGTTGCAACCATAATATCTCACTTATTGTATTGGTCATAGCTCGGTATTCGGCTTCTGCGCTTGACCTTCCAACCACGGTTTGCTTTTTGCTTTTCCACGTGATTAAGTTCCACTCCGACGAATGTGCAATGTACGCTAATCGGATCAGGGCGGAGTTGGCAACGACAGTCGCTGCATTGGCCCGAGCAATGGAAGTGCATCCGTTGATTCATCGGTGCCGGTTGTCCTTTGCCTCGATCAGATCTGTTTCGTGGTCTGTCGTCTCACCATTTTGGGAACCCGATGAGTTTGAAACAATTGTCGGCGACATGACCATTTCGGCCACAATTCGAGCATACGACGGAAACATCCTTGTCGAAAGGTTTTGGCCTAGGTTTCTGTTCAGATCGGATGGCGAAAGCCGTCACATCCAGGCTGTCAGCAGGGTCTTGTGTGACGTGATGAGTATCCTCGTCTTGGACGATCGTGTTGTATGCTTCTTCAAGTTTCGGTAGAATCTGTTAGGACAACAGATTCGATCGTGACGTACAATACTGTACCGTGTGTCATCTAGACCAATGAGAAATTCATATAATCGATCTTCATTCCGATCTCTTTACAGCACAACCGCGATGTCGCAAGAACATCGCCGGTATTTACAAACTTTCAAAGATCGAAAGTTGGCTAAATCGTCCCACAACTTTGTGAGTTTTCCAAAATTTGCTTCAATGGTCAATTCCTTTTTGTCGGCAATTGGCAAGATCGCTTCTGATTTTGAGAATACGAGGGGTGGTTGTCTTCCCAAATCTGCGTTTTAAATACGCCCAGAAATCGGCGGCGAACTCACGATGAGCCACGTCTAATCGAAGTTGCGACTCAAGGGTGTTCTGAATCCACGAAACAATGAGCGCATTGTTTGTATCCTAGTCTTCGAAATCCAGGAATCGACATCGGGTTGTGAAATTGTGTTGTCAACGAACCCAAATTTCTTTTGAGATTTAAGTGCTCGACGGATATTGATTGTCCATTTGTCGTAATTGTCTCCACGGAGTAATGGTTGGGACAAAATCAACCCGGGATTGTCATTCAGCATGAGATCGTATGGATATCAGAAATATTGTCTCGTCCGTTCATTGTTGAGGTTGAATTCGTGGGGTGGGTCGTTTCGGTGGTCGGAGGGGTGTTGTGTTTTTTTTTTTTTTTGTTAACGGTAAATATTATATATATAAACAATCGTACAATAGAGATTACCAAACAGTAATTCAGATATTAGAGTTCACAATAGCAAAAACAAAATAATGAACCTAAGAAAAATGAAAGTGAAAAATTAAGTCATAGACGCATAAAAGCGATAACTATAAGTGGTGTATCTTGCAAGTGGTTGGTACTGTTGCACGATAATAGTCACTGGAATTTACCTTTTTCCTTTCGAGCTTTTCCAACCAATGTGAAATCGGTAGGATCAAGTGGGATGTTGACAACACGAGGACGTAGAATACGTTGGCCTACTTGGACGGTAGCAGTTGCGTTGGAACGCGCTCGTAAAATTCTTTGTGCTTCGGCCACTAGTTCTTCATCTGAATCAAAGCAGAATCTTGGATAAGTCTTGTTTTCGATTGGATAAATTTCGGGGTCTGGTTGCTGCAGAACTTTATTTCGAGCGAGCGAAGGTGAGACACTTGGAGTTAATATCTCAATTGTAGAAGATGTAGGTGGTTGGAAGAGGCTCGGTTGAACCGTCTTTTGGGGGAATGGAGAAATAGTGGAAACGGAAGTCCCTTGGGATGGGATAGCTACCTGATCAGGTGCAGCCTCAGTTTGAGCATTAGGTATTGCAACGTTTTTAGGAGTTGTGGGAGACAAGGCCTGCAGATCCGAGGCAACTACAGGCGGGGCCTTCGGAGTTAGGGAGGAAGGCGCCTGCGGGGTAGGTGTCGGGAATGCTATTGCAGTCGGTTGCTCCACTTGAGGCTCGAGGTGTCGTGTTTGGTTGGGGAGGCTTGATTTCGGTGGACATTGTATTGGAAAATTACAGCGGGCGGTAGTGGCGCATGCTCTAATACCATGGCACAAACCGAGCTAAAGGATTATGAGAAAAACGGCTTGCCTTTCATTAAGCATAAACGCACGGTTATATACAGCATTAGAAAACTAACCCTAGCTACAAATTAGGAAAATATAATCTCGTATAGTAACTGCTTTCTAATATAGGATATACAATATTGAATATACGTCCCTATTACCACCATTTTTATCATTACAAACAAATTACGTGTCCGATCTTTATACATATATGGTTCAATTAAAACAATTTCATAAAAAAAAAAAAGCACAAAAACTATACGGAAAAAATGGAATATAATTCTGAAACCACATTGATTTTGTTATTAAGAACGTTAGCAGGCATGAATGGTGACTGCCACTATAATATTAGCAATTGCTATTGTCAATTTTGTTTTCCTAATTTAATATATTTTTTTTAAATTATTTTTCGTCCTGTTCCAAAAACTTGTTTTCGTCAAGTGTTAAATTGAGACATGGCTTTCTTTTTATTTATTGTAGTGTAACCCTATCCTAATATTAGTTTCTATTAACCGATTAATGAAACAAGCTAGTTGAAGCCGTAATCGCAGGTGAGGATATATGTATATAGTGATAAATTGGAATAAAATTTAAAAGTCGTAAACAAATTCAGTCTTTCACTAAGATTTCTAACAGCGGTCCGGAATTCAAATGGATTATGTCTCATCACGTATGTGAAAAATAAACTAATTCCACAAAAAAACATGTAGAATATTTAGAAAAAAGTTTGCCAAGTCAAATTAGTGTCTGAAGCAAGCATTTCCACGCTGTGAGAAGGAAAACGGATCAAACACATGTGTGTGCCTGTCGTGTATCAACATCAGTACCAGTTCTATAATGGTTACGAGTTGGCGTTGGCATCAATATCAAAAACGCAACTCTTATTGTTTTTTGATGGATTAATTACTTAACTGGAAAAATGTTTTGGTTTACCCGCAAAAACAAAACATGCAACGCAACGCTCATAATCCCTACGACGAGGCATGATGATGGGTATCGTCAACGGTCACATGCATGCCAAATGGTACGTACGATCTCTTATAACACACAAGCATCCTTGTGGAGTTTACACAGCTGGTGAATTGTTGGGCATGAGCTAATTTTATGATTCAATGTCAGAAACCTTCTTGGTTTCCTCGGAATTGCCGGAGAAGATGAAATCTGACCTGCTCTTTTGCTATATATATATATATACATATAGAATCCACTATGCCTTACATGCGTTAAGCGGTACAATATCGTTCATCTTTAATCATGTTTGCACAAGATTAACTCGGCTGGTTCTTCCGTGACATTAATTGTTTTTTTGTTTGCTTCGTGTGAATTCCAAATAAAAGCTGTAAACTACTCGTATATATGTTTGTTGGATCTTAGAAAGTGTCACTGATGGTAAATTCAAGGAAAGTATATCCTTCTAACTCTAAGTCGTTAGGGTTTCATAAGAACCCTCCGTGTCATAATGGCTTAATCCTCTAACAGTTAGTCAAACTTTTCCGCGAGATGAAAGACTTCAGCACGTACCAGTTAGTGAAGATTTTTCCGCGTTAACCTTTTTCTCACTTTTTCCTCGGGGGGAGGAAAGAGTTCTTACAACGAGAAGAGCGCTGGATAGGTTTTGTATAAAATAATAATAATTTCTAGGGTTTCGATCGGTGTCTCTTTTAATATCCTTCGCATTTCCCCCAAAATTCGCCAACTGAACTAGCTAGACAATTCACCTCCTATCTTCCATCTCTCTGAAATCGGACTCTTATGGCGCTTGGATCCCCCAATCTTTCCCCTGAAATCTCTCCGACCAGCAGCAGGAGGCTCCTGGGCAGCCGCGATGACTCCGAATCGTCAAGATCCGATGAAGTTTCGATCGACTTGGGAAATGGAACCGCAGTGACCCCCATCTCCACATTCAACGAATCACAACCTCCACATAACCCTTCTCCCGCTCTTCCTTCCCCAGGGGCAGTGATCCAGGGAGGGGGGCAAGTCCACCTCCCTTCAATCGAACTCCATGCTCCTCATATCATTGTGAACATCACTAACAACTACACCACATCGCCGACAAACGGAAACGGCAGCATCTATTTTAGATTCTTCATGAAGATGGAGATGTCCAAACAAGTGGCGAATGCATATGTGCCAGTGATATGCGCCAGCCTTGTCAAAACTCTTCCGTTGTGGGTATATGCAATCGCATTCTTTGGTCTCGGTTTGATGTGCCTTTCAATGATGGTTCACCACCAACACGCGAAACTTGCATACGCGATGCAAGTTGTTGGGTCCTCCATCTTCATCTACTTCCTTATTGCCATTTTAGAGTCTCATATTTCGGGAGTTGATTCGCCTTTCTCAAGGTTTTCTTCGTACGTTGGTTATTGCCTATGCGTAATAGACATTGCGATCATAGTGTGGATGAGCATGACAGTTCAAGAACCAAATGGAGGCCAGTGACAATATTCTTTCGCTGCCGGGACGTTTCTCTCTCTATATATACATATATATATGTGTGTGTGTGTGTGTGTACTTGTTATTGTGTGGATTGGATATATATTTCCACTCCGAGTTTGCTTTGTTTTATTCGTGTTGGTTTGGTTTGAGGGTGCTGATCATACTATATTTACGGGATTTGAAATGTTTTTAATTGTTTCCATACAACGTACATTACGAGATTGTATATGAATGAACAATTTGTCTACTTTTCTTTGATTTTTACTGCACGTATTGAATCTGTCAAGTACTGATCTTCCATTATAATTAGGGTTCTAGCTCCTGTAGTGAGCGTGTTAATTCTTCTTCTTCTTCTGAAATGGTTTATTAATATTGCATGTTGGACCGTTTATTAGCCTACCTTGTAGCTTCTCCTATTTGTGTGTGTGTGTGTATATATCTGTAAGCGTTTCAGAGATGGAGGAGGGTGACCCCAAGCATCAGCTTAGCTAGCTGCACCAACATCTCAACTTCAGGTTCTTTTTCTCCGGTGATTAATTGTTAGGAAATCTTAGACCGAGAATTGCTTGGTTAGTTTGTGTCTGTCTTAGAATGAGAGTGGCTTTGTTAGTCGCTTGTTTCTTTGGTAAGAATAGCAACCCTATACTATATATAATTGTGTTGGATATATATATACACACACACACATTGGTCCAATCTCAAGCGTGAAAACCGATCGTTTAATTTAACGGCTACGTGTTGGTTTATTTTTCAGATGTGTTGGTTTTTAAATGTAACTGCAATAAAGCAGTTATGAGTGTCTATATATGTAATTCGTGTATTAATGAAGTATTATTGCAAATTTGTTTTCTACCATCCTGTTTGTTTCCTAGTTTTATTGTGTGTTGTATATGTTTTATGTATGTATTTTTTTTTATAATCCAAAAATTCATCGGCAAAGTATCTGAGAAATCTAGGTGAATAACTCTCTCCAAATTTGAGTTTATAAACCTAGGATAAGAGTTTGTTCTGCATGTTTTCTTACCACATGGTACGTGTATGTGTTATGTTGTGATAAAAGATGTTTAATGTTGTTTTGGTGTTGTTACAAATTCAAAGTAGAGAGTGAAAGAGAAATCATTCTCTAGGATGAATTTGAAGAACCAACAATAATAAATATCATTTGTTCAGCAATCTTTCAACAGGTTTCTTTTTTTATGCAACCTTTTGGGTTTCTTCATAAGTCGTATAAATTTTCTGAGATATATACTCTTCATTTTCTATGGCTTGCATGGATCGACTTCTAAGAATATTTTTCTTTTATTTACGGCGATTTGCAAAGCTCTTGCTGCACAATATTGATATATAACTGTATATATATGGATTCTTAATTCACGGGGCTCGGGAAGTTGGGCATGGAAACAGATTCTCAAACTTCGGCCATTGGCTAAGAACATGTTACGTTGTAAAGTGGGTTTGGGTAACACCTGCAGTTTTTGGTATGACTCTTGGTTACCCTCGGGGGCGTTGATGGACACTATTGGTGGAGCAGGTCCTCGCCTACTCGGCGTCCCACGACTAGCTCTTGTCTCGGATGTTTATTCTGCTTCGGGTTGGAGCCTACCGCCAGCCAGGGGTCCCGAGGTTGAGAGATTGCACTTGGAAATCTTCGGGTTATCTATGACGACTCGGGCTGCATCCCCGGATCATTTCTACTGGTCGCCTTCTCACAGCACTGATTCTCTGCCTTCGTTCTTCTCCAAAACAGTCTGGAGACAGAACCAGCAGTTGCCTCCACCTCTCTCTGGCTATAAATCCGTCTGGTTTTCCGGTGCCACGCCCAAACATGCGTTCATGGTCTGGCTGACAGCTAGGAACCGGCTTCCAGCACGTGACCGCTTGAATTACTGGGGCCTTAATATCTCCCCCTTTTGCCTTCTGTGCAATGATGAGGATGAATCTACTGGCCATTTGTACTTCAACTGTGGTTACACTATCGCCCTATGGACATCTATATTTGCCCCATCACACATCACTTAGACTAACCTAGGTTCATTTGAGAACGATCTTTGCTGGCTATTGGACTGTGACGCCAACCGGTGCGTCAAACTCATGGTGATGTTGTTATTTCAGGCAGTTGTATACTATACTTGGCAGGAGAGGAACTGCAGGATGCATGGTGGAACTCCTCGCACGACAGTTGTTATGCGCAAGGAGATCCTACGATATACTAAGCGGAAGCTATGGGCGTTGAAATCATTAGGCTCGGGTCCTGCTACTAATCCAGAATTGTTACAAATATGGTTCTCTCTATTCGACAGACTTGACTAATCACACTAATCTTCTCTGGGCTTTTGGTTTTGTAACAACCGCTGCTCGTTTGTAAAGAATGTTTCATCAATAGAATTTAAATTTAAAAAAAAAAAAAAAAAAAAAAAAACATTGTGTCAGAGTTGCAGTTTACGATCTTAATTGCAGCCCTTGGGACAGTACTTGACCCAATCTTTGTCGTTATGAGAAGACGGAAGCTTCTCGACAGACCCAAATTGAAGGAGTAGGCATAGACGTTTTGATTCAGTTCCGAAGAACCGAATAAAAAAATATGGTATTTTTCTCGATATAAAATCGTTCAAAATTCTCGAATGATATTATTTTTAGAAAATCGAATTTTTCAGAATCGAAACAAATCGGAATTTTAAAAAGTTCCAAAAATACGAATTTTTTTAAAGAAAATATATCTTTTTTTAAATAAAAACCAGAACCGTATATAATCGAAACTGAAATCAAACTGAACCGAACATATAGGTATCTATTTTGTTAAAAAAAAACTGAAACAATTCGCCAAACATCTATCCCTAATGAGGAGGGGATACATGCAGTCAAGCAGTTAGAGTCCTTCTCTCCCTTTTCACATCCTCATATGCATTTATGAATCTATATAACATATATGCATTTCAGTCCCACTTGATGGTGGTCCTTTGATCAAGAGACGATAATCTCACTTTTAAGGTCATGGTTACATTCTACTGTTGAAGAAGAGGGAGGTAATTAATTGTATAATTAAAAGTTATTTTGGGACAAAAAATTAAGTGGCAGAAGGCTTAATTATCATATATATATATATATATATATATATATATATATATCGAAACTAACAGATTAAAAAGTATATAACGGAGATATATATGTATATATATATATATGTAATATGTTACTCACAAAATGGAGAAAGTGATTTTCTCCATTTTAAGCTCGCTTATGTTCTTGTTCTTCTTCTTATTTTTCCACGTGAAACGAATTTATAAGGGGATGTGTAATTCGTGATTTAGGTTAAGTTGTTAATTATGGATTAATCTTGAGTTATACTGTTAATTTGATTATGTTTTGATTAAGATTCCATATGAACACTAATTCAAGTTTATAATTACTTTTTGTTAATGAGAGATTTGGATTTGAGATATCTTATTAATATCGATTAATGATTAATTGTGATTTTTTTGTTGAAAATCTCGATAAATTTCATATTTAATATATATCTTAAATAAGATTAAGTCGGTCGAAAGATTTTTGTTTGACCATATATGTTAGGGCATAACTGCTTTAACTAGCCGTCTGATTTTTGATAAAATTAGAAATGAAGACAAGTAGAGAGAGTGGGCTTCTCACGGAAATTACAATTTTAATTTTATAAAAAATTACAATTTTAATAAATTTGGAAATTTTAAAGGGAAAAAAAGAAAATAAATTTGTTGTTGAACATCACCTACTATATTTCTAATAATTCAAAATTGAAAGTATGCATATCATATTATATTATACTATATACTATATCATATTATATTATAGGCATTGACAAATTTTATATCTCATTTGCTCAATTCTCTCTGCAATCAATCTGTTGGAATTAGTTATTGTACCATTGATATCATTCTCCAATATAATTTATGAAAAATTGATGATGATAATGATGAATAATAATATTAATTAATACAGAGTTAGGTCCAGAAAAAATTAGACCAGGATTATATATATATATTGGAGTTTTTTTTTAAATAAATGAATGGAGATATTTTTGTATGTTATAATTCTCCACATTTATATTTTTAAAAAACTTAACAAATGTATTTATGATTTTTGGAAGTTTTATAATTTTTCATTCCTATAAATAGGAGACTGTGTTTTTATTTTTCTACACACCAAAATCAAGAAAAATACAAAGCAAAAACAAAACTTTTGCAAAAGAAAGAAAAATATATTTTTTTCTCTTTGTGATTCAAACCGTTCTTTGAGTTCGACAAGGCACCGGAGTTTGAAGCACCATTGTTCCGGTGAAGTACGTCCGTCCTATCCTGGGAGGATATATTCCATTAACCGTAGGTACCGCGCGGGGAATAATTTCCTTAAGGAGATACGGTTCGCCGTGGGTTCGGATTTGGTTTTCCAGTTTCAAAAAAAAAATCATATTGATATATTGATGCTGGTTTGAACATAACTTTCTATATCGTTATCGGAATTGCATGTTCTTGACGTCTTTCATAAATATCAAAATTATCTTTCTAACGGTGTATGACATGCATGTTGTGGTTATATATTTTGAAAGTTATTAAGTTCGGAGTTTTTGACATAAAATTGGAAGTTAATAAAGTATGAATATGAGACATATAAAATAACACACCCAACAATATATACAGAATATAAAAACTAATAAAAATATATAATAATATTATAGTGTGGAGGTATTTAATAATATTATATAAAGTTATAAATTTGGTAAAAAAAATGAAAATTTTAATTAATCAAATGGGCATGTGTGTGCCCCGCCCCACTTCTTTGTACCTAGATCCGCCCATAATAATAATAATAATAATAATAATAATAATAATAATAATATCTTTGATCTTCTCTTATAGTCTCTGAATTTAATAAATAAGATCATCTGTTTCGTGCAACGATATACAACGTATTACCCGGTGGAATTCGATCGAAAATAACCACATATAGTTTTATTAATAACCATGCATTTGTTTTATATTGTAATGTTTTGTAAGCAGATAGTAATATATATATATATATGTATGTATACATAGAGGATCAAATGGAATTAATTTGCGGAAGAAAGTGTAGGAGTTGAGCCAATGGCGTTATGCGAGTTAAAGTTGAAGAGACGTCGCACGGGCAGGCAATTGCAATGGGCGTTAATGCAAGAGCAGAATCCGCATCCCCTCCCACTACATTCCACAATGCAGTCGTCGTTCGTTTTGCATCCCGACACCATCATCGTACCTGCATGCATCGTCCACACATCATCTTGATTTGTCCATTACACACACACACACATATATATATATATATATATATAGAGAGAGAGAGAGAGAGAGAGAGAGAGACAATGCCTGTTGATGCCATGATCAAGAATACGCCCAAAAGAACAATTATCTGCGAAGATTTGAACATCTTTTCACTCTCTCTCTAAACTTTGTATACTTGGTGCCTGAATTAGCTCGATCGCATATGTGTTTGCATCTGTGTGTGCGTGTGTATATATACACATACATACAGATGCATGTATGTGATACCTTCTACTATTAGCGTATAGAGCTGATTTAGTATAATCACACCACATATACCATTTCCACAGATTTGATTCCTTCAATCATATAGAGTATAGTATATGATGGATACATATCATATCACCTAAATTTGTTATCTAAGATTCAATTACTCTTTCTACATATTGACAATAATAACAATATTAAACTATTTATTTTTCGAAAACCAACTTATCTTGTAATTTGATTTTTTTTTCTCACTATCATTTTTTAATTTGAGTAAAAAAATCGAACCCGAATAACTTTTTATTTGCATGCAAATACGACAAAAAAAAAAGGGAAATTCTTTGTAAAATTCTGAATTTGTCTAAATGTGCCAAATTAAATCCTTAACTTGTCAAATAAATACCCTAATTTAACTAATTTTGCCAAAACAATATAAAAAACGATGTTAAAATGATGTCACTATTTTATGTAGTAGTTTGGAAAAATTAATCAAATTAGAGTAGTATTTGTTTGACAAATCATAAATTGAGAATTTAATTTGGTACATCTAGTCAAATTCAGAAATTTATGTGGAATTTTCTCCGAATAAAAAGAAGAAGTAAGATTCAATGATTTTAATATAAGAAATTTGTGTATTTCTTTCTAACCTTTACCACAACAAACATGGACCTCCTGTTATATATACGCATGGCATCAGAGAGAGAAAACAGCATTTTGCTTCATAAAAACAAGGAAATATCCGACCGACATTTCTGCCACAAGCCATTTGAACTTTTGCCACAAAAAGCATTGTAAAGATCGAAATTATACCATAAATTCATAAAAAACTACATTACATATAATATGAATGTGGAGCCCACTATAACTGGGCCATGGGTTTAATATATGTGATGTTTATTGGACCTTATTGGGCTTATAGCTGAATACTTAAGGCCCAATAGTTGGAGTCCTTACAAAATTCTCACCTTATAAGTATTTTTTCAATGCCATGATATAGAAATAGAACAGAGTGCGTTGTTTGACTAACCACTATATATATATATGTATATATATTTGAGCGAAATAAAAAGTGACCATATTATTGTAATAAACTTTATCTTAAAGTAAATGCTTTATCAAAAGATTAAAAAAATATATGTATAAAGTGTGCAAAGGAAATAAAAAAAAACTATATGTGTCCTAATAAAAGTGCATAATAAGGCATGTGACAGTGTTCCAGTTGCAAACTTATTTAATAATAGAATTAAAAAAATGGGTTATTAAATATTTTATCTTGTTATTTTTAAATTAATGGTACAAAGGGATTTGTTTTTTTTTTCTCTTTTCAGTTATCTTAATGATGACATTTTTTTAAATATTTTCCATGGAAAATCGCTCAATTTTATTAACATTCCCAGTCGTGTCAATGGGATATATTGTCACATGATTTTCATGAACCAAAGAAATCGCTTTTGAGTGAAACGAAATTCGAATGAAAAATCTCTCACCCATATCCAAACTTATAAAAGAGCTACTATTTTTATTGTTATAAAAAAATTGATTCATTTAAACTTTTGAATTCGCTATATTTATAGACTTATTCAAAATTAAATTTATATCAGTTTCGAATTTGACTCCACTGTAATCTATAAATCCTAGGCATATATATTTTGATTAAATTATATTTTATTTTAATTAACATTTGATTATATATATATATATATATATATATTAAAACCAAATCAACAAATGAAATGAAAATAACATAAAATAATTTTATATGATTTTTTGTATATTCGTAATAAAAATTAATAGATAAATGAATTCCAGAATCGAATTCAAGAAAGAAAAAAAAAAGCTCAATACATATAATTTTTAAAAAGCAGAATCAAATCTAAAATATTAAAATTAAAATGAAACCCGAAAGTATTCGTTTATATGAAACAATTTGGTTGACAAATATCTGCAAACCACCCATACAAAATTAAAAGAATAAAAGTTGTAATAATATGGACATGTGGTGATGATGGGATGATGTGCATGGTAAAACCCAACCCAATCAATGCAAATGATTTCGACCTCTTCTTGCACTGTTGATACAATTAAACAAATATAAATAAAGCATAGGGTAAACATATATGATAAGATATTTAATTTAAAAAAAAAAATTAAAGGAGATTCCATTATTCCAAGGGGTTTTTATAGTTGTTTGAAATTGCAAGTCCCAAGGCCAACTCTTAATATGGCTCCTCGGGGCTTGTGCGCTCGGACCGTCCATCCAAAATAAAATTCCAATTATGTTTTAACTATTTTTTTTTGTTTAATTAAAAAAAATTAATGAGTGTTGGATATAATTTTACAAAAAATATTTAGTTTAAAAAATAAATAAATAATTAGGTGCTTTACATTCTTTTAATTAATTTTATTTAGGACTATTAGATAAAAATATATAAAAAAAGACAACACAAACACAATATTATATCAAAACTTAAGTCGTTGGTCACTCATGTTACTAATCAAAATCCTAATAAAAATATTCCAATTGAAGTGAAAAACTAATTTGTAGTTATTATTATTATTTTTTAGAATATGTTAGCAGGGTTTACAACTAGACTTGAGCTGCAAAGATGTTTTTATTCACCCAAAGCAAAGAGGTCAAAATTAAATGTATATTTTTAAAAGTAGCTATGATTCGGTCCAAAATCCAAAAACATTGAACATAAAAAAAAAGGGCAACTCGCGTGACCAATAATTGCCATGATTATTCGCAAACATTGTACCGTAAACATACTTTTAAAACAATACTTTAAATTTTAATTAAGTAAATAAATTTGTATCCGAAATTAATGAAGTAGATATATATAATCATCTTCACTGCCATGATACTAGATATGTATTCATAAACAATTAATTAAAATTTTAAAATATTGAATAAAAAGAGCCAAATAATGGTAACTCCGACATGTTTTTATTTATCTTTTTTTTTTCGTCAATAGTTACAAAACGTCGGTAATATTTTAATTAGAAAAAATCCGAATCGTGACACAGGAGATGGAACATTAAAGAAGGAAGTGTTTTGGCACGTCGAGAAATAAACAAGTGTGGAGATGGGGAGGCGAATCTAGATGGATTTGGGGGAATTTTGACCAAAAGAACCCTAATTTCTCAAAGAAAAAGAAAATCATGAAGCTCGTTCTTCGAGGATTAAAAAATGTAAAGAAAGGGACAATTTTTAAGATAAAACCCAAAAATGAAAGTTGTCACTGTCATCTGATTTTTGCATAATTGCCTCTTAACCCCACACAGATTCATTTGTTCAATCGCTTAAACCAGAATCTTGAAATAAAGTTTCCTGAAAAGAGGATAATTTAATCTTCTCAAAGGCAAACACTTTGAAAGCTAAAAATGTTTGTTTCCTTCGAATTAAACCCACTCCAATGCTCGAGTGCTTCGTCCATGGCGGTGGTTTAATGATCAAGGGCTCTGTTTTTTATGCAAGCGTGGGTATATAAATCAAAGACCCTTCTCTCTCTCTCTCTCTCTCTCTCTCTTCCTTTCTTCTCTGTGTTTTACCTCTAAAAAGCGACCATTTCCGCTGTTTCTCTTTCTGTATCTTTTGTTACAGCGGTCAGCAGAGGAGGGCGTACTGTCTGAGCCAGGACGAAATTCGATACAGATTGGTAAGAAATTTGAGGAAAAGATTTGGGCTTGTTCAAAAAGTGGAACAAAATCTGAAATGGGTATCTTTCTCTTGAAGCTTTTAAGATCGAATCTCTGCTAAAATCTGGCTAGGGTTTCTTAGGAGGTGGTGTTGAGTGTCTATACGGAAATCATGGTGCTTTTTCTGCTCCGTTGACTGATTCTGCTGCTTTTTGAAACTTTAGTTTTGCCCGTGTCTCCTTCGTCCCGGTACTTGGTAGTGGTTGTGACAGATTGATTGAGTCTGTACGATCAAATTCTCCATCTGATCAAATTGGTAGTCATTCCTTTCTTGTTCGTAGTTACAAGCTCTTGAATGTTTCTCAGGTACTTCTGTTGCAAGCATTGATGAGATACATAGTGGCTGGTCTTGGAGGCTGAAGCCCAAAGTACAATTTCTGGAGATATTTGAACCTGCAGCAAGAGGAGCTAATTCAGGATTTGGCTGTTCAGAAGTTGGAGAGACATGGATCGTGTAAGTGACAAAGACAAGTTTGCGGTAGAGAAGAGCAATGGTGTTAATAATGTGAACTATGATTCAGGTAACACGCCTGCAGATTGGCGGGTCTGTGTTTCAAATCCAGTGTCTATGTCTATGGGTTCATATCCTCCAGAGAATCCGATGTCTTCTGCTTGTGCATCATCTTGTTCTCCATCTCAGATGATGGATTCACTTGGGCAAGCTCTTTGGCATGATCCCAACAGTGTTCAGACTAATGGGTTTGCCGGATTCAGTGTCCGGATTAATACGGGTTCCTCGAATGTAATGGGTGTTGCAAATGGGAATCTTCCGTCTTATAGGAATAGCATTGATAGATCTCTTGAAATGGGTTGGAATCTTCCTAATTTGATGCCTAAAGGCAATGGTTTTCTCCTGCCAAATCCAAGTGGATTCCTCCCACAGAGCATGGTTCAGTTCCCAGCTGATTCAGGTTTCATAGAGCGTGCAGCTAGGTTTTCGTGCTTCGGTGGTGGGAATTTTAGTGATATGATGAACCAACCTCTTGTAGTTTCTGAATCAATGGGGTTATATTCTCAAGTAGGTGGAACAATGCAAGGGCTGCAGGATATGCAAGTGGGAGCTATAGCCGAACTAGCTCATGGAGGACAATGCCTGAGAAATGAAGTAAATATTGGTGAACTTCCGAAGGGTGCTCCTACATCAGTAAAAGAGGGGTTTAAGAATGCTGCGGGAATTGAAGAAGCTCAAGTAGATAAACCCGGATCTAGTAATATGTCTAATGAAACTCGGTCTAGTGGTGGAAGTGGTCTCAATGAATTTCAAGATGGGAAAGTGAGATCTGGGGAAAATTCTTCCAAGCGCTTTGATACGAAAAAACGGAAAAGAAATGGGCAGGTAAAGGCTGAAGCATTCTTTAGTCCTGAATCCTTCATTATATCCAATTACTAGCCTTTGATCACTTAGCTTATCTCTCTGTTGGTAGGAATCTGAGCCTAATCAGCTGCGTAAGACTCAACAGTCAGGTGAAGAGCCAGACAACAATGGTGATAAAAGGCAAAAGGATGAGCAAAATACCAATTCACCTGCTAACAAGACAAGTGGTGGTAAACAAGGAAAACAAGCTTCTGATCCTCCTAAGGAAGGATATATTCACGTGAGGGCTCGAAGAGGCCAGGCCACAAATAGCCATAGTCTTGCGGAAAGAGTATGGTTCTGCATCTCAATATCGGATAGGAGCAATTAAGCCCATTGTGTTTGGGGATGCTCTCTTGAATCTTAGATACGTGTGGTTTTTTACTTCATTACTTTTGATTATAGGTAAGGAGAGAAAAGATCAGTGAAAGGATGAAGTTTCTTCAAGATCTTGTACCGGGTTGCAATAAGGTGGGGCTTCTAGATGAAGCATATGGTTGTATGAGAAGAAAGCTATCTATTTCATTGTCTGAAATACTGACCTATCTATTTTTTTTCTTGAAGCACTGAAATGGAAGTGTTTTGCAGGTCACAGGGAAGGCAGTTATGCTCGATGAAATCATTAACTATGTCCAATCTTTGCAAAGACAGGTCGAGGTATATTTGCATGTGGATGTTACCTATATCCAACTTTGCTCTCTCTTGTTTAGCATTCTCATCTTAAAAAATGTCTTTTTCCTCTTTTCTCTCTCAGTTCTTATCGATGAAACTTGCTACCGTGAATCCACAGCTGGACTTTAACCTCGAAGGGCTCCTAGCTAAAGAAGTAAGAAATTGTGGAAACCCATTAGTGAAGACGTTATCTTTTCTATAATGAGCAGTTTGGCTCATACAATGCTCGAATTTTTGGGTGTCATTTGGATACAGGCCCTTCAGCTAGGACCCGTTCCTTCATCTGCACCGTCATTTTCACAAAATATGCCAATGGCTTATCCTTCTCTACCACATCTCTCTCAACCGGGATTCATCCAAGCGACACTTTCTGGCATGGGAAATCCGTCTGATGTCCTTAGGAGAACCATTACTTCCCCATTGTCTCCAGTGAATGGAGGAGGATTCAAACGACTGGTATGCTTCTGATTCTGTATCATTTTCGTTTAGACCAAGTATGTTCACCGTTAGAATCATATTTCCGCAAAGGTCTTCCTTACAGATATAGTGACACATGAAATCATGGTCATATGATTTTCTACAGTACAACATTCTGATATTCTTGATTGGTATAAACAGGAAACACATGGATGGGAGGGTGATCTGCAGAATGTTGTTCACATGAGCTATGGAACCAGCGCTCCACCTGAAGACCAAGAAGCAAGTGCCACAGGTAAAAGCTTCTTCTTCTTCTTCTTCTTCTTCTTCAGGGCTAATCGATGACTTGCTGAAGAACTTTTGATTATACAAAGATTAAAGGAAGGATCTTCAACTTACTATAACATCCCCTTTTGATGATTTGTACAGAATCTCTTCCACCAACTGACATGAAGGTCGAGCAGTGACGTTTCTACCATCTCGTAATATTTGATCCCCAAGTAGTAATTACGTGTTGTTCGCTGTACTAACACAAGCAGAGCAATTGAAATGCTGCCTAGTCGAATGTGGGAAACAAGAAAGAGGAAGAAAGAAGAAATTGGATCATGTTTCTGTAATCTTGTACAGCTCGGGGAAGAAAGACTAAGCAGCACCTCTTTCATGTTATTGCCACGCATTCTGGTTGATTCCCAAGTGGAAAAGAGAGACACAAGTGAAAGCCCTTCTGTATTGGGGAGGCAGATTCTTGGTGATAGAAAGATTTCTCAATCTCTCTCTCTCTCCGTGTGTTTGTTTGTATAGATAGGTGAATCATAGAAGTGAAATTTGTATGTGATCAACAGGAACAATGGCGTTTGGCTAACTCTGTTCTGTAATTTCTTTCTGCAATACAATACATAGAGCAGCAAGAGAGAAATTTCACCTTTTGCAACCGTTTTGACATACAACACGCCTTTTTCTTTTCATTGTTTTACCTAGAAGAAAGAGAAATTACATCATCTTAAAAACTCAATTTATAAATTCAATTCCTATATTACATCAGACATGAAATTAACTTGCAAGAAACGAGGCAGCATTCTTTACAAACAAGATGCCACCAAAAAGAAACTAGGAGAAAAAGAAGAAAACAATTTCTCTTCAGCTATGGTAAATATTTAGCTGAGACCAAAGAATATGTACACTAAAGCTGCTTCAGCTTAAAGCCTTGAACCCTACTACAAAGACAAACCCTTCAAATCTTACCTTGTGAATCCCTGTAAATCCTCTCCATTCCGAAGAAAAACCCGTTTTAAATTCATTCATATAAACCTTACTCTCTCTTTCAAGTTTCGAGATCTCTCAGAACTGGCAGGAAGTGCCCAGCCTCTGCTTCTGCTTCTGCGTGAAGGATTTGCGTTTGGCGAAAGCCGGGTAAAGCAGCTCCTGAAACTTCTCCAGAAACATCGGCCACTCCTCTTCATTCATGTCCGATATCTTCACAAAGCTCGTGCTGGTTGGAAGCTGCTCATTCGCACTCTCTGCTCGAGCTCCCGGGTATTTCGGGTACATCTGATACTTGTCACTGAGAACTGTGCTTTTCAGAGACATGGAAAGCTTGGAGATTGTCGGAATTCTCTTCTGACCAGCGGAAGGAGCAATAGACACTCCATGGTCTGGACCTCCTTCGCTATATTCTCCATCTTCTTCCACTTCCTCCTCGATAGTTTCTTCCAGTTTTGACAGTGGAAGATGACCATTCCCGAAGGTGAATCCATGCAGCGACGGCAGTTTTGTCATGAGATCCGAGCCCAGTATTGATTCCTCGCAATCTATATGGAATTGGAATTCGGGGTCACCACTTAAATCTGACCTTGGAGAAACTGCTTCCCTTTCCCCTATCAATCTCCTGGCCTCCAGACAAATCACTTCGAGTTCACTAGGCTCCTCTTCTCCAGGACGAGACTCTCTAGTCATCATCTCACCGATCTCAGCGAGACAGAGACCGTGAGCAGCAGCTTCCTTGAGGAAAATTGTGCAGAGAACTAGAATGCAGAGACAAGCCTCTCGTACCATGGGGAGTTCCCTTCTCAGCATCTCACAATCTCCAAAAGGATCAAGATCTGCTATGTACTCAAGTTCATCCTCCGAGAATGGGATCGAAGCTTGTGGCCAATGAATCCACTCGAAGTAAGGGTCCTCCAGAGTTTCAGGCAAGCAAAGACCATGGTCAATTGGGATAAGCTCCACTTGACCAAACCTTCCAATTCCATCCAGCTTCCTAACCAGAAGGTTCCCTGCATGCCTGTCCGTGTTGAAGATTCTGATGTCTAGAATTCCAATATGGTGCACAGCAGAAACAGGGAAGCTGGACGTGCCATGGTCACTAGCATCAAAATCATGAGGTACGAACTGCTGTAAGGAAGCAATCTTGCTGATCAGCTTCTTCTTACCAGACTTGTTCCCATTCACCCCATCATTGACATTGAAGATCGAGTGAGTGATCTTCACAAGGGCAGTTGGAGGAACACTTGCAAAACTATCCCTGTCAAGGAGATAAGCTGCAACTTCTCGATACCCTGTTTCCCCAATCCGTACTGAACGCTTCAAACCAGGTTGCCCAAGCTCCCTCCCGACAAAGCCTTTCGGGTTGTTTGGAGCAAAAGGCTCCTCATCAGTTGGTTTAACAATTGCAACGCTCTCACCCCTGACATTCCTAAAGTAGTAAGCCCCTCCAAGCCCACCATTTGCTGGAAGTGGAACAATGCCTCTCTTCATTGCCTTTGTAATATCCTTCACCATTTGCTTCACAACATAAAATCTATCAGAGTAGCCCAGTATTTCAATAGGATTGCTCTGATCTCTCTGCTGAACATCCACCCCCAATGGGGAGAGACATGGAGTGGATGAACTCCTGTGAAAGATGCTCCGAGTTAGAAGAAGGGGGGAATCGTTCCTCAAAGTCGTAAGATCATTTTTAAGCACCATATCCCCAAAGGTAAGTGAGCTTTCGTCTGTGGGGAAATGAAGTGCAACCTGCAACTTTCGTTTCACAGTGTGTGCATTATCATTACAATCCAACTCTAAATCCATTACACAACCAGTCTCGGTTTGGACAAAAACCCGCCTCTGACAAACAGGAGTCTTAACTCCTATCTTGTTAGACTTGTGGAATTCCCCGCTAAGGGGGTTCTTCAAAAGTCCCACGGCCATTTGTGTCTGGACAGGACTCTCCAACTTTCGAGACATGAAAATGCAGTCAGAGGATAAGTGCCTTTGCAATGCAATAGCAAAGGCGGCTGGAAAGGAGTTTTTCTTCCCTCTCAGACAGAATCGGATCAATGAGATATCACTTCACTCCTAAGAACGATCATCAAACGGAAGAGCCGAAAATGAACCAAATCCAAAATCTAAAAATGGATTCTGCTTCAAAGAATCAGACTTTGCTACAAACCGAACTGTCCTATACCCGACAAGCGACGGTTAAAACCCAGATCACAGCAGATTACAATCTGCGAGAAATGCAACCGAGAGTGAGTACAACCAGGTGCAAAATCAGGCATATGTCTCAAGCACGATTCCAAGAAGAAGGTCGCCCCAATAATCGGTAAAAAGATTCATTTGAGCTAACACGAAACTCCACAAATGATCCTTCGAAACTTGCAGATCGAAATAACATGCGAATTAAGGATCAGTTTGGTGGATCTCCCTACCACATTAATGGCATAAATTGAAAAAGAAACGGTGCTTGAAAAACACCTTTCAATGAACGTAATCGAAGCCTCGTTTGTGCTAAGTTAAAATAGCACCATTGACAGAAGACTATACCGAACATCATCCAAGAGCTGATTTTTTCGAGAAAATGACACAATCTGAGAAACCACAGATCGAAAGAGTACTCACCGGATTCAACGGGATCTGAGAAGATGCAAGAGAACGATATATGGGTCAATGAGCTAGAAGAAACGGAGAAACATCACAGTGGAGAGATATGGTGGCGTGAACGAGTCGAAAGGGACTCAGCAGGGAAGAGTCAAGCGGAAATGAAATCGCTCTGAGTCGGCTCAGCGAGTCGGCGCTTGAAGGTGGTTCTCTTTCTTGTCTCTTTCCC